TTTCAGTCGACAGTTGAGGGGGCACTACCAAAAATTTCCTGACAAGCAAAAAAAAAAAAAAAAAAAAAAAAAAAAAGGTCATCAGACGTTTTTATTGAGGGGGCACACGCATATAGTATCTATGTTTACTATAGTTATCTATATATCGGCAAAATTATTGTGGGGGGGAGCACGCCCCCACCCCCCCCCCCCGGTTCCTACGGCCATGCTTATACAGTTTAATCAAAATCTTATCCTCTCCCAATAGTTTTCCCCTCTGTGGATATCCATTATTTTCTTAGTTTACATAACTGTGACCAATGATTTATATATGTAATGGTTGATTTTGCGGACATAATACCATCACACGTATCAATCGATCTGGTGAGCAGATGCTGCCATGATTTTCTTGTACTGGGAATACACGTGCTTACGTTTATTATTTATTTGTTTAGCTAGATCGATGCTTTCTTCTTAATCTGGGCTCATCTTTTCCTCTCTCTCTCTCGTCATATGAAGAGGCCTTGTCGAGACTCGGGTAGCATGCCTTTTTCCCCAGATGTGTTTCATCAATATTCTGGATAAGAGCTAGTTGGCATGGCAACTCGGCGAAATAGACAGGGAAAATTTATATCTATATTTCACGTTATCACATCAAAAAGAGGAAAAATTAATCAATATCAATATCCATAAAAAGGCTTCCGTGAAAAACTAATAATTAATTGGTTTGATATAACATGAGCAAGCACATCGAAGCATCACCGTGATGTCTTACATTTAAATGCATTTCAAAATATTACGATTAGCTGCCTGTTGGTATGATGTTCATGTCGAATATTGTGATGTTTACCCTTTTATGATTATGTTTACACGAAATTCATAACTGGAATGCACAACGTTGTGTATTTCAAGTTCGTGAACTCATCAGGTGTAGCAAATGCACTTTTTGACAGTGACAAGTTTATTGCAAGGTATACAGAACTATTACCCTACGGTTATGAGTAAACAAGACTGTACAACATCAAATCTTTTTATGATTCACATCCTCGTTAAGATAAGACGGTATTAAAAGATATATACACCAGAGAGAGAGAGTTTTAAATCAACATTTCATTTATATCTTCAAAATATTTAGCACTTAATCATATGCTATGCTACAGAAATGTTATTCTTAAAAGTAATGAAAATTTGAAACATATACAGATACATGTACATGTAATTTCATTTTTGCTTTAATTGGCATAATCAATATAAATGTTCCAAAATTACTTAAGTAAACTTACCCAATTTTCCATTGGCCATTTTCGTTCAAGTATGAGATTACTATGTTTGTCCGTCTCTCCATCAATACTTCAGTTTCATTTATACTACAGTGACATATCATCAAATGCATGTCATCATAGCCACACGCCGAGGGAAAAATTCATCATCTGATTGGTGGACAGTGAAGCGTGTCGAATACTCCGCATATTATCGGCAGCATCTTTCCTGGCAAAAATCCGGACGTTGACACAGTCAACCCTGATACACTGTCCGGTAAAGTGCGTTGTTTTAGGTCACACAAAGCGCAGAATGTCCCATTGAGTAAAACGTACATAGCCCTTTGTGATGCAAGATAAACTTGCGATATTGTCACAAAGACAAACCTAGCCCCTATAACTATTAAGCAATTTGTCATTTCATAGGCAGATGAAATCAGCCGAAATTATAAAAGTCAATTTAGGTTAATCTATCCACAAGATGTGACACAATAATGTTTTAACGATTTTAAAATGTTTCGGTCAATGGTCTTTGCTGTGTGCAGATTTCTCCTCTCTCTTTCTTTCTCTCTCTCTCTCTCTTCTAGGATAGCTGATATCAGCCGAAGTATATTTCTGAAGCAAACATGTAGAGTTCTAGTTTTAGACTGAGAGCACAGTTTTTAAAATCTTATTCAAATGCTGTATGTTCATATAAATGTCATACAAATATTATATATATATATATATATATATATATATATATATATATATATATATATATATATATATATATATATATATATATATATATATATATATATATATATATCCAAAATTGAAATAAAGTCTCAGTAATCGGATTACAATATTAAACAAATATAAAAAGAAAACACAAGAATCCTCCGTAAAGCTTTATGGCTTTCATTAAAAATCTTCAGAAGCTTTACATTACAAAAATGTATACAACGGTAACATAGTAACAATGATTATGACGTTAAACTAAGCGGAACGTTTAATGTCTATATTGTGACGTCATAGATAAAATACTGCAATGATGATGAAAAATTTCGGGAAAATCATAGTTTAGTTTAGTTTAACGTCATAATCATTGTTACTATGTTACCGTTGTATACATTTTTGTAATGTAAAGCTTCTGAAGATTTTTAATGAAAGCCATAAAGCTTTACGGAGGATTCTTGTGTTTTCTTTTTATATTTGTTTAATATATATATATATATATATAAAACGTCTGAAGAAGTATAATGAAAGCGCTTACGTTTTATTAACATTGTTGCCTTGTTATTTTTAATTTTCATATTAATTACCGGACACTGTGATATTTCTTTTCATTTTTTGGATATATATATATATATGAACACACACATTTTTCTTTTAACAATGCACATAATTATTTACGTCATAATTTTTTTTTTAATTTAAGATGATGGACAAACGAATTTAAAAATTTTAATTTGGTCTGTTACCAAATAAAAAATCCAATTTTTACTCAGCGTAAAATGTATGTGATTGTTTGTTCATCTGCTTTTTTTAAAAAATAAAATAAAAGATTAGTTAGCCGAACGTTTAAATCATCTGTTAGTTTGTGAAAGTTAATGACGCATTGCAATTTTATCCTTATGAAGACTGCATAAATCCAAGCCATTACTTTATATGCTAATTAAGCTGTTTACTGATTTACACATTTGAAGAATAAGAAGGAAAGTTGTTTGGTAAAAGGTCTACCATTAATATTTTTTTAGGATATAAGTGACTTTAAACAAAACTATGAAAATCTCTCTAACTATTTAGTTCAAAGATAAAAAAAAAAAATAGATTCCCAGTAGAACATTTTAAAATACATCACTCTGAAAAAAAATAGTAGAATAAGATTAGAAAGGGGAATAGACATATTGTCACAATACTTTAAGAATAGTTTTGCGTGCAAACTTTGTACATGTCATATGAATTGATTCAAGCGAATTCATAAAGTTCACGCTTTTCCACATTTACACATAATTACATGTATATATATAATCGGTCAATATCTAGTAATCGATTAACCGGTTTTTACCGACAACTCGGTCAAAGAAAGAGAATCATATATCTGTCGTACATACTTTAGTCTCTTAAAAAAGAAATTGGAAAGCAACATTTTGATGTTGTTAAAACATTAATCAGCACAAGAATTTCACCATCACATACAAATGTGTCCACGAATTTCAAGGTTATAATCAACTTAAACATTCAAAATAGACATTTTTAAAATAACTTCGTTCAATAGTACATGGATATATTTGATAGTTCCATTTGTCCATTTCTAGTGATTAAAATAGTACAGAGATCATAATATTGGAAGGGGAAGTATCAGAGAGGGCTGAATTCTTTGATTTTGCAGAGGAAAAGGCGTCTACAAGACATATAGACCTAAGTATCCATGTGGCAAACAAGGATTCATTTTTTACATTCCCGGCAATTAATGTTTCCAAATACATTATTCATCATGTTAGTTATTTCAGTCTTAGAATAAAGTGTTGAGACCTAGAAAGTCAAAGAAAGCAATGAAAAAAATATAATTATCAGATTGATTTAAAGACAACTGCTCCAACCAGAGGCCCGTGGGCAACAACGCTCACCTGAGAAACTTTAGCCCTGCTGTTCTTTAAAAGATTTCCAAAAAAGATTTCTATATTCCCATGAAAAATTGTGACCCGGTATTATAGCCTAAGGGTCTCTGAATTCACATAACATGTGGATGCTTCAATATCATTATGACTATCATGGCCTTGCAATAATGGAGAAGAAAATTCTTTTCCTGTATACATATATTATGTAAAATTTGATATGTTTGCATATGAATGCTGCGATCGTGGTTCTTCAGAAAATTTTCAAAATTTATTCCTTATAACGTCCCATGTAAAACTTTGATCCTCTATTGTGATTAAGAATCTACATCATCTCAGGAAGCTTTCACGTAAGTTTCATCTCTTCTGGCGCAGTGGTTCTAAGAAGTATATTTCCTATATCTTTCAATGTAAATTTTGATAAAAAAAAAAAATCATATATATCCCCTATTGTGGCCACTCTCTACCCCGAGGGGGGCATGATTTGCACAATTTAGAATCTACAGTACCTCATGAAGCTTTCACACAAGTTTCATCTCGACTAGTCTAGTGGTTCTTGAGAAGAAGATTTTTTAATGACCCCATCCTTTTTTGCCTTTCCTTGCTTATCTCCCCTTGGAATAGGACTTGGCTCTTCCAATCCACAGACGAACTGTGGATTGGAAAGAAACTACTAGTAATCAATGTGAGGAATGGAATGCAGAGCAAAACGTTAAATATTTGAAAGGAACGTGCAATGGTTGTTATTTTTTTCCTATGTTGAAGGGTGAAATAAAATTGAAGGGGAAAAAACCGAACTGAAATCTACACACGATGAACAGATTTTTCGCGCTTTAAATGTGCCTGTTTTATTTTACCTGTTTTGAAAATTAAATCAAGCGAAAGTTGAATCGATATCGAGGGTCTAAAGGCATGACTCCCCTACATGGACAAAATAAGCGAGTCAGTAAAGATGGCCATCAGATTTGCTTACACAACAACTACAACACTAGTTTGGATATGTAGACCTTACCAGTTTGAAAAAGAAGCAGATTCTGTCGAGAACTCGAGATTTCGATTTCAAAACAACCTAGAGCCTATCAAATATGTGGGGATCCGAAACAAAAATTATTACAAACGGAAGATCCAATAAAATGTGCAAGAAAAACACAGAAATGCAATGTTCACTACTGTCACAGCCCTCTGCTCACTACCACAAGCTGCTTGCTGTCACTGTTCACTGACTACTGTCACAGTCCTCTGCTCATTACCACAGGCTGCTTGCTGTCAGTATTCACTGACTACTGTCACAGTCCTCTGCTCACTACCACAAGCTGCTTGCTGTCACTGTTCACTGACTACTGTCACAGTCCTCTGCTCACTACCACAAGCTGCTTGCTGTTACTGTTCACTGACTACTGTCACAGTCCTCTGCTCATTACCACAAGCTGCTTGCTGTCACTATTCACTGACTACTGTCACAGTCCTCTGCTCACTACCACAAGCTGCATGCTGTCACTATTCACTGACTACTGTCACAGTCCTCTGCTCATTACCACAAGCTGCTTGCTGTCACTCTTCACTGACTACTGTCACATTCCTCTGCTCACTACCACAAGCTGCTTGCTGTCACTATTCACTGACTACTGTCACAGTCCTCTGCTCACTACCACAGACTGCTTGCTGTCACTGTTCACTGAATACTGTCACAGTCCTCTGCTCACTACCACAAGCTGCTTGCTGTCACTGTTCACTGACTACTGTCACAGTCCTCTGCTCAATACCACAGGCTGTGTGCTGTCACTGTTCACTGACTACTGTCACAGTCCTCTGCTCATTACTACAAGCTGCTTGCTGTCACTATTCACTGACTACTGTCACAGCCATATGATCACTACCACAAGCTGCTTGCTGTTACTGTTCCCTGACTACTGCCACAGTCATATGCTCACCCACAAGCTGCGTGCTGTCACTGTTCACTGACTACTGCCACAGCCATCTGCCCACTACTATTGCTGTTTACTGCCATTATGCCCATATTTTCTAGATGAGTGATCAATCGATATTTCTGCGACAGTTTCAGTCCCAAATACCTAAAAGTCCTACCTTGCGCAGAAGTCTGAAAATGAATTTTAAAAAAGACCTTACCCTGTATACATAAAAGTAGATCGCAGGTATTACAACTGTCACTCCTGACAGTAGCATCTAGTTAACTGACTACTGCACACCCTTCTGCTTCATGTAGCTATCATCCCCGATTGTTCAAGTTTGGATATTTTTTGCATGCAGAAAATTAATTATTGGGCCATTGGAATTCTTGAAAAGCATAATTGCACAGAAATTCAAAACTGTCACAAAACTTCATTTAAAAAAAAATCACGATGATTTTGCAATACTCAGAGACTAGAAAATATTTTTGGGATAAACCTCTATACAGATATAAAGGTTTTAGATAAAAGTTATATAAATTAAAGTTTCAAGGGCCATTTGTCAAACAAAAAAATCACAATTGGGCTCACTATGTAATCGACTTCTTGTTCAATAAAATTTACATTTTGTGAAGAAGAAAAATATCAAACTGAACAATTAAAAATTACGACCAATCACAGTTAAGATGTTTGATACATGTATCTGACGTCCGCCATCGTCATTGGTTTTCTTTGAGGTTGAGGTAGTGTCATTTATTTTCAGGCAAAGGGCAATAACTTCCTTTATGGTTTAAAGCTAAAATTATCAGACTATAGTCCTGCTGGACACGTCATTACTGATGACGTAAATATAGTTAATAATGAGGACCTTATTATTTTAAAGGGGTCAAAATTTAGGGAACCACGATCTTTCAACTGGCGTTATAATTTCATAAATATTATGAATTCTGTGGAACATAACGCCAGACAATGGGCCAAACATGAAAAAGAAGACATTGACACTTTGTCAGAATAGATCAAAGGTATCAGATGGATGTTGAAATCTCGCATTAAGAGACTGAGGGGCAATATGAAAATCATCTATCCTTCTGTATTCAATAATTCAGAAGTGAAAACAGGTTTAGATAGATTACACGATCAGTATGTACTGGTCCCAGGTGACAAAGCAGGTAACAATATTGTCTTTGTTTGTAAAGCTCATTATTTTAATTGTAATTTAGAAGAACTGGGGTTTAATTCTGCAAATGGTAATCCAACTTGTTCCCATAATTCCCTTTTTAAGGAGGAATTTTTTTTTTCAAAATCATAGGTCAGTTTTAAATATTTTTGATATTCCCAAAAATCAAAATGATTTTGAATTGCCATACCTATAATAGATTCCTAAACTTCATAAAAATCCTTACAAACAAAGATACATAGAGGGTTCCAGTAAATTTACTCCTCACTAAAATATTAACAGCAGTGAAGGAGAAACTTCAGGAGTATTGTACAACAATATATTCGAGAAGTGGTGTAAATCAGATGTGGATACTTAAAAACTCCAAGAAACTTTTAGAAAATTTGAAATAAAAAAATTACCAAAATCAATAACGTACGAATTTTCAACACTTTATACAACCATTCACCAGGATGAATTAAAGTCCAGACTTTCTCACTTCATAGACATCTACTTTTTTTTAAAAATGGAACTTGTAAATTTACTTACCTTGTCATCGGTCATTTGCAAAATTATTTTGTTAAAAAACAATCTGACTGTACACACAAGCACTCTGAAGTAGATATTAAAAAGATGCTTGAGTTTCTGATTGACAATATCTATGTACTTTTTGGAGATCAGGTCTTCCAAGAATCTGTTGAAATACCCATGGATATCAATGGCGCTCCGTTATTATCAGACCTATTTTTGTATTCATATGAAGCTGCAGAATTTATTCAAAAACTTATGCATACATAAGCTGTTGCCTTAAACTCGACATTTAGATATATCGACGAAGTATTATCAATTAACAATAGTTACTTCCATTCATATGTCGAATCGATATATCCCAGTGATATTGAAATAGAAGATACCACAGAGTATGACACATATGTTTCATATTTGGGTATTTTGCTAGAAAAATACGTTAATGGTAACCTAACTACAAAACTTTATGATAAATTGTTGACTTAAACTTTTCTATCGTCAACTTCTCTTACCTATGTAGCAATATACCCTATCACCAGCATATGGGGTTTATATCTCCCATTTGATTCGATACGCAAGAGCATGCTCCAAGTACGAACAATTTCTAAAACGAGACAAGTTATTGACAAACAAGTTAATGAAACAAGATATCAACGGTCTTTTAAAGTCATCATTTCGCAACTTCTATGGTTGGTACAGTTATCAAGTCAGTCTATCATTAAGTCGAATGCTAACTGACGTTTTTCATACTAATTGTTAGGCCAGTATTTAAACACTGAATTGTGTACGGATTTTTCCGTTTGCCCGATTATGACAATGAGCACACGGCGGGTATGACCGGTCGATAGGGGATGCTTACTCCTCCATGGCACCTGATCCCACCTATGATGTTTTTTAGAGGTCAGTGTTTGCTCTGCTCCCGATTTGTATCGTTTTAATGGACTTTTGAGGTTGATTTCTGTTCGTTATTTCATTCTGGATACATTCAATTAAGTATGACTGATAAGGACTTAAAGGTTTAAAGCCTTAAATATACAATGTACTTTAAATTTAAAACAACATATTAGAACTCGAACCTTTAAGTGGTGACTTATGACAAGTGCTTTTGACATGTATCCACTACAAATCCCAATTCATGCATTCAGAGAGAAATTAAACGGTTTATTTTTTCTCCTAATGCGATTTTGAATTTATTTTTCTTCACAAAAATGTGACAAATGTTTGAAAGTAGACATTCTTTTATTCGATTAATATAAGTTTTTTTTAATGACTCTTCAGTGTTCTTATCATTGTAACAAGTATTTAAAACACATTTTGTATGATATTAAGCATTTCCATAACATATCGACAAGGATTACAACCGACAGGCATAAAAAAAGATACACATTTACCCTTTTCTTTAACATTTAAGTATACAAGTGACGAACAGGATCATTTCAGCTTATGGTTTTGTTGCTAATGAAGTCTTTATTTTCTGACTAGATGAAATCTAATGTACATTATTATAAAAAAGAGATCGTAAGAGTACTCCTCCGGTCAAACTACAGAATAGACATTGCATTTAACAACAAAAATCAACTAGATGCCGTCATAAACAGTGTTTGCCTCTAAATACTCCTTCATATTAGGGTAACCAAGAAAGAAACTACAATAAGTCTATAATTTTCAATATATATATACGTATGTATGCTATATATAAAATTCTCAGGTTAGTCTGTGACCCATGGGCTCTTATGTAAGTATTTTATATAACAAATTCATTACCAGTCTGAAATAAACAGAATTCATTAAGTAAATTTTGATAAGAAGTATACTTCTGAAATGACTTTGAAATTTGTATATTTCAAAAGTAGAGGCATACATGAAGAGCCCTAGTTTTAGACTTTTAGCTTAAGGTTTTTAAAATCTTATTCAAATGCAGTATGTGCTTTAAAAAATTGTCATAAAATAAATAAAACATATATAAGAATCTGAACATTTTTGTTTTAACAATGCACACCTAATTTTTTTTTTTTAATTGAAAGTGACAGGCACACGAATTTCAAAATTTTATTTTGCCATTTATCAATATGAAATCCATTTTTTTATTCAGGGCAAAATGTGTGTGATTGTTTGTTGATTTGTTTCTAAAAAATAAAAGCTATTTTAGCCGAAAGTTTTCAACTGTTAGTTTGTAAAGACTGACGCTGTACAATTTAATCCTGTATAAAGACTGCATAAATCCAAGCTCCAGACAGCTTAGTATTACTTTATATGCTACAACTATAAGACATATACGCCCTACACTTGGGGAAAATAGTCCCGGAGATTTGACACTGTATGAGGTTTGGTATGAATTGTAGACTTTTTACCAAACAACTCTTCCTTCTAATTCTTCAAATGTGTAAATCAGAAAACAGCGTAAGTAAATTGATTTGATAATCGATGGCAAGTTTTCCCCTCTTATTTGTACCTTTTCCTATCCACATTTCACATCATTAATAATACTTATTTTAGGATATAAGTGAACTTAAACAAAATTATGAAAATCTTTCTAACTCTTTAGTTGCTAAGATAAAAAAAAACGTGAATAGATTCCCCGTAGAACATTTAAAAATACATCACTCTTTGAAGAATTTTAATGAGAACGGTATTTTAACGTTCCGAAAGTTTGTAATACGCTTGATAAATTTTGGGAAAACAATTCTAACCAAAATATGTAGATTGGAAAGGGGGATAGACATAATATCACAATACTTTCCGAATAGTTTCGCGTTTACACTTTGTACATATCATATCATATGAATTTATTAAAGCAAAATCACGAAGTTCATGCTCTTCCACATTTACATGAAATATGTGAAGATAACGAACATCATTCGAGCTCAAAAGTCCATTAAACATTACAAAATAGGAGCAGAGCAAACATGAATCTCTAATTAAGACATCAGAGGTGGGATCAGGTGCCATGGAGAAGTGAGCATCCCCTGCCGACCTGTCACACCCGCCGGTTGCTCCTTGTCATGATCGGGAAATAACGGAAAAATCCATTTATGATTATATCATCGGTAAAATTCTAGTAATCGGTTAACCGGTCTTTTTACCCATTGAATAACCTATAACTCACACAAAGAAAGAGAATATATTTGTCGTACATACATTAGTGTATTAAGAAAGGAAAATGAAAACCAATATATTGATGTTGTATTTAATGATAAAAATATCAACCAACATTAGAATTTCACAATCACATACAAAATTGTCCACAAAGTTCAAGGTTATAATCAACTTTAACATTCA